TCTGGAGACCGTGAGCTTTTGGGGGTACCTCATGATAGGTCTGGGCAGTGCCTGGCACAAGGGGGACCCCAATCTTGGGGGCAGCCATGCAGGACCCAGCCCGGGGGGGGGCACCCTTATCTCACATTGCGTGGCTCTGGGTGTAATAAACACACTGGGAATAACCATCGGCGACAGCGTTCCAAGGCACCCGGCAGATCCCAGATCAGCGCCCCCACCGGCCTGGGGCGTCCCTTTCCCCCTGCTAGCTCGCCCACCAGATTTGGGCTGGCAGATATTTTGGGCATTTGGGGAGTGCCCCCAGGCACACGGAGGAGCCCTCTTTGCCCATGCTTTGCTTGCAGAGTCATCCAGGAGCAAACCCTACCAGGCGGCAGGTTTGGGGCGCCCAGGGCCTTGCCCTCGGAAACCGCTCATCGGCACGAGCACGCCAGAGACGGACACTCCCCCCCCTTCCCCGGGGAGTCCGCTCCAACCGCTCGCCCGCCTCGGGGGGTACAACTGGGGCCTCGTTCCCCATTGGCAGGGGCCTGGCCTTAACTCCCAGCCATGGGTTCGGGTTCTGCCTTCCTCTGCTACAGACCAGGAAACTGGCGTCTCCACGGCTTCCGGCCACGTGCCCCCTACCGAGGTCCCCAGACGATGCTGCGGGCAGGAAGGGCTAATGCGATCCAGAGTAGGAGCGGAGAGGTGATTTTACCTCTGCATTTCGCCCTGCTGGGACCCTGGGTCCGGTTCTGGTGCCCACAGTTCGAGGAGGATGTGGATAAATTGGAGAGGGGTCAGAGAAGAGCCAGGAGAAGGATGAAAGGATTCAAAAACCTGCCTTGTCGCGAGAAACGCAAGGAGCGCGCTCTATTTAGCGTAACAAGGAGAAGGTTAACTGGGGGGGGGACTTGATCCCCGTCGACAAGAATCTACACAAGGAACAACCGTTTAATAACAGGCTCTTCGGGCCAGCCAAGAAAAGTCTAACACCGGCTGGAAGTTGAAGCTAGACCAATTCAGAGTGGAAATAAGGCGCGGATTTTTAACGAGGAGGGTAACTAACCCATGGAACGATTTACCAAGGACACGGATTCTCCATCACGGATCGTTTTTCAATCAAGACTGGACATTCGTCTAAAAGATCTGCTCTGGGAATTATTTGGGCCTGTGCTCTACAGATCAGACAGATGATCACAACGGGCCCTGCCGGCCTTGGGATCTACAAATCTATGACCATAAGGATTCTTCTGGAGTGGAAATTTTCAAATCAAAGCTGGCTATTTGCTGGAAGAGATCAAGTCTAGTTCAAGGAGGGAGGAACCCAGGGCAGAACTCGGGCCTGCAGGCTGGCATCAATAGGACCTTCTGGTGCCTAGACCCACGTCTCCTTCGGGGCAGCGCCAGAGGATGGGGGGAGGAGGCCGGGAGCTCTGTCTCTTTAAACGCCCGCATGTTTCAAGGAGGGAGCTCGTAAAAAATAGCTCCAGATAAAAAGCAGATAAGGAAATACTTGGAAGACACAAGCCGTACCAATCGATAGGGTCCAGCTGACACGGAGGCCAGGGGTAAAGGGAGGATTTCACCCCCTCGAGGCAGCGAGAGCTAGTAAATGCCAGGGTTTGTTTACGCGCCTGGGATCGGCCCGAAGATCAGCATGATTTTCGCCCCCAAAAACTTGGTGGGGGGAGAGGCATCAGTGTCAGTTTTACGTATTTCTGCACATCAAACTGATTTAAAAAAACCCGACCCATTCGTTCCCACTGCGCTGTGTAAAAATATGTCCAAGTTTATGACGTTGGGGTGCGGGGGCTGGAAAAGTATGAGAATTTTCGGAGCCAAGTACAGGCCTCCAGTTCGGCGATCACAGCGTGCCAAAAACCAGCATTTGGATCCAAAAGGGGACAGACAGCAAACGTGGCTCTGATTCTCCGGCACCGGTAAGAGCGGGGGGGCCCGGCCGGTTCTGCATCTCAACTCCATTTGCTCTTTGAGCGGAGAACAAGGAAGGGGTCGGGTCTGCAACTCAACAGGGTCGCTCGAGAGGCCGGCGAGCCCGGGGCTCAGAGGCAGGAGAAGCCAAAACTCTGGTGAACGCCCCAGCAATCAGCTCTGTGCCCCTCGGCTCAAACACTTTGGAAGCGGCAGGACTCATACCCCACCCCCAGCCCCAAATGAAAAATTGGGGTTTCGCTGAAGAAAAAAAAAACATATCAGAATTTTTAAGCCCGCCCCCCAAAATCCAGTTTTTAGGAGTCCCCAAAACTCCCATCCAATTTCGACAGGGCGCCTGGAACAGCCACTTTGCACCCACTGTCTGGGAGCCTCCCCAACGTTGGTAAATTTTGTTTCAGTTCAAGTTTCCCTCTGGGGAAATCATGCAAAAGCCACCGCCCAAGACCCAGGAGTTCAGAGCAGGCCAGCAGGGGAAAGTGAAGGTCGAGCCAGCCCAGCCAGGCTATGAATTACGGGCCAACGCCCAGAGGGGACAGGACCTGGCGAAGAGGAAATGCCTGGCGGGGACATTAGGAGATTCATAAGAGTTTCCTGCTCCCGGGTTTGACCGAGCGCCGAAGTCACCGCTAGAGGACGGGATCTGCGGGGGTCTGATCAAGAGGGCCGGGTGAGGGAGATTCTCGCCGACACAGACCCTTGTGTGTTATCCAGATCCAGCCGTACGTTAGGCCAGAAGGAACCATCTAGGACTTCAAGGGGCATAATTCACCCTATACCCCCTGGCGGGAGCTCACGTCTGCCCCAAAGGCAGCCCCCCTGGATCCGAAGACCCCGAGCAACGGGGAATCCTGGAGAGGAGCTGCCAGCCCCGGGCGCTCTTGGAGATGTTTGAATGCTCCGGAGCATTTTAGCCCCGGCCGGCCCAACTCTTCCACCCCGGATCCCCCGCCCCCATCCATGCAGCCCAGGATCAATCTAGCCCTGTAGGCCACAGTGTGGCCCTGGGAGCTCCTGGCCAGCGGCTTATCCCCCCATGAGCCCACGCTCTATTGCAGAGTCACCGCTGCCCAGGCTCAAGGCGCCTGGCTGGTTCCTGGATGTACAACCTTCCCGGGGGTGCCCGGATGCATTGGGGGTAGGGAGAGTGTAAAGAGCGCGTTTCCAGACTCTGACTCTCGGCCGCTTTACCTTGCGCTGTGAACATCTTTTTTAACGGAGTTTTTTTGCGTGAAACTCCTCACCCTTTATACAAGGGGGAACTAAATTCCAAGGGCTGAAACTAACCCCCTCCACATGACACATTAGCAGCAGGGTTTGAAGTCTAGACTTCACCCCAGCCTGCCTCCAAGGACGAGCTCTGGGAACTGGCGGCAGTAGAAGGTTGTTATCTCCAGAAGGGGAGAAATCAGAACACTCCATTCCGCTGACTTCACAGCCGAGGAGACCCTTGGCCACTGGCCAAGTATGGGGGCGGGGGGAAAGTAGAGCACAGGCAAAGGTCTCCCCCCCCCCCCCGGCTTCCCATCTCAGCCCAATCCCTGGACGAAGCCAGACCCCTCTGGGGTAACATTCTGCTGAACAGCAAAGGCTGGACCACAAACCATCTGGCACACAGGGCGGCTGCCCGCTCCCCGCTATCAGCCGCTGTAGTAGGGGCAGGAACAAAACGCAATGGCCCGGCCTGCGCGAGCGACCCGCCTGCCGCGTGAAGGGGCCCAGCTGTTTACGCTGCCAGCGGCTGAATTGCTGTGGGCCGTGCCCACGCTTTTACTGGTCCTGGCCAGAGTTCAAGGACAGCCGCTTATCGCCAGAGCGGTTTATTAGATGGGAAATGAGCTCTGGCAGGTGAGAAGGGCTGGCTGGAGGGGATGGGCGGAAAGGGCCCATCGCCCGTGGCCTCGTGGCTGCAGCCGGAGAGGGGCACAGCCAGCTTTCCAAGGACTCTGATGACCCCGCTGGAGACTCCCAACCCCTCCAGCTCCTGCCGGGGTGGGGGGAGATGGTGCCCACTCTTCCAGCCAGCAATTCCCCCCACCCGCTCGCGCGGAGCCAGCTGGGAGGGGTCAAAGCCGAGGTCCCCCTACGGGTCACATCATAAACAACCTTTATTTACATTGCGAAGGCAGCGGTTAGAGCAGGGACAGGGAAGTGCGATCTGCCCTGGTGCGCGGCCGGCGAAGCCTGCAGCCTCCGGCGGGGCCGGCCCCTGCGTTCCCGCCCAGCATGAAGCGGGGCGGGGGGCAGGAAGCCCGGGGCAGCGGGGCCTGAAACGGAGGAGGTGGGCGGCCGGACTTCGGACCCTGCCCTGGCACCCGGCGGGAGCAGACAACCGCCCGCTCCCGAGCGGGGCTGGAGGCATCTCCGCTCTGGGCTTCACCCCGCTCCCCCCCAGCCGCCTCCCCGCTGCCGGGGAAAGGGGGAGCCCGCCCCTGGCCCCTCTTCCCAGGTGGCCGAGCCCCCGTGGCACTGGTGAGCCAAGCTGCCCCCCTCTCCCCAGAGCGGGACCCCAGGGCAGGGAGGAATTGCCCCGGAGGGGGAAGATTCGTGACTTCGAGCGGAGCTGGCGGGAGGGGGGGCGAGGGGACTCCCAGGGTGCACCAGAGGGTTAGGATTTCGACTTGGAGATGGCCAATCCGATGAGGCCGGCCAGGCCAGCCACGCCCAATGCCATGCCGCCAACGATCGCCATGCCAACCAGGCCGTCTGCGGAGAGAAGTCGGGGCTTAGCCGGGGGGGGGGCCCCTCAGCACGCAAGGCCCCGCCCACACATCCCCGCCTCCCCCATCTGGGCCTCCCGGGTAGGCTGAGGACGGATTCACCCCAGTGCATGCTGGGAAAATCCAGCCAGCTCGCCCACCTCGCGAGCAAGGCGGGGGGGGGGGGCTGCAATGCATGCTGGGAGGGAGGGAAGCGCTGGGAAGATGGCCGGGGGGGGGGGGCAGAGTAATCGTGGGCAGGGCCGAGAGGGTGACCCAGAGCCTGGATTTCGGGGTCAGGCGGGAAGAGGGCTGCCCGGGGCGAGCCTAGGACGGGATGGGGGGGCGTGGGGGGGGGCTGACCTTTCTGCATGGCCTTGTCGATGAGCTTTTCCAACTCCAGCGCCTGCGTGTTCTTGGGCTCCGTCTTCAGCAGCCCCCGGATGTACTTCAGGGCCTGCTCGTACTCCTGGGGGGCAGGGGGGCGGTCAGCACCCACGGTACCCCCTCCCCGGCCCCCCACCCAACAGCCGGGCCCCTCGATCCCTCCCCGCCTCCTCCCACTGATCAGCTTCGACCATCCTCCCACCCTGGGTGTCCGCTCCCTGCTCTGCCCCCCCCCATACCCGCCCCCCATCGTTCCTGGAATCCACCCCCCCATCGATAAGGCCCAGCTCTTATCGCGTCTGTCAGCACCTCGGGGTTTCTGAGCGTTGCTGGCAGAGTCCGTAAACCCGGCCCCGGACAGTTCAGCCAGGGTTTACGCAGGCCGACGAGCCGCCCCGCTCCCCAGCCGGGATACCCTGGCTTCCCTTCTGGCGTGGGTCAGCCCCCCAATCTGCTCCCTGCCCCCCACCCCCGCATCCCTCGGCTGACACGGAGGGGGGGAAAACGGGGCACGGTTGGGGGTGAGCTGGCCCTGATCTTTGAGGGCACCCTCTCCCCCCACACCCCCGAGTCTGCCCCTCCCCTGCGCCCATATAACCAAATCCCTGCGCCCCTCGAGCCAGTCCCATGCAGGGCCCAGCCCAACTCCCCGACACAGCCACCCCCAGTCACAGCCCCCCAAGTACCTTGGTACCTTGAGGACACCCCCCCCCCCCCGCCATGCTCAGAGGGGCAGCCACACCTCCCCCCCACACACACACACTCACCTTCAGCCGGTAATTGCCCACAGCCAGGTAGAAAACGTAGTCCCGCTGTTCCTCCTTGCACCCTTTGGGCACCAGCTCTAGAGGGCCGAGTGGAGACGGGGTTACCGGGGGGCTCTGGCTCCAGCACCCCCGCCCCCAATTCAGGGCAACGCAGCGGGGCCGGGAACCAGGCAGACAGCCAGAACCAAGGTGGGGCCTACAGTAGCCCTGGCCAGCCTAGACCGTGCCTTCCCCTGCCCTAACCCCAGGACCCAGAGGAGCGGGCATGCCTCCGCCGGGCGTCTGGCTCCGTGGGACTGGCTGGGCAGAGCTGCCCGGCTCCGGGGGGGGCCCCAGCCGGGCCTGGGCGTCACTCACCCTCCAGCAGGGCGATGCCCTTTCTGATGTCCTCGGTGTATTTGCTGCGCACCAAACACCAGGCGTACTCAAACTGTGTCCCCTTGGAGACCGCACCGCCGCTCAGCTCCGCCCTGTACTTCCTCTCGAACCGCTGCGGGGAGACGGCGGGGTGAGACCCCTGCCCGCCGGGACCACACACAGGGCCAGGGAGCGGGCAGGGCAAGATGGCAGGGCAGGGCCTGTCACCCCCCAGCCCCAGGTGCACACAGGAGAGAGAGACACACACAGACACTTCCCCCGCTCAGGTTCAGGACTCCTGGGTTCTCTCCCCGGCTCCGGGAGGGGAGTGGGCTCTAGTGGTTAGAGCGGGGGAAGCCTAGGAGCCAGGACGCCTGGGTTCTCTCCCCGGCTCCGGGAGGGGAGCGGGGTCTAGCTGGGGAGAGAACCCAGGCATCCTGGCTCCCCAGTGCCCCTGCTCTAGCCCCTAGTCTGCTCTGCCTTGACCACTGGCCCCTGCCGCCCACCCTGGCGCACCCCAACGGGTAGCTGGCGCCTCCCTTAACCGCACCCGGCACAAAGTCCCCCTTGCCCCGGGGACTCGGCCCTTTTCCAGCAGGGCTGTTCCGGCAGCAGGATGGGGCTGGGCTGGGCCCCTGGCTCTGTCCCATGTGGCCAGGCATCCCTCCCCAGTGCTGGGTGCGTTCGCGCCCAGCCTCGGTCCCCCGACTCCGACTCCCTGGTGGCCCAAGGGCCCCCCAGCCCTGAGAGTCACCATCCAGACCAGAAGGGGGCACTCCTGGGCGCGCTGGCTCAGCCTGGCACCTTGTATCTCTCCAGTTACCAGGGACGGGCTCAGTTTGTGGGCGCTGGCTGTGGTATGCCGCAGCCTCAGCACCCTGCCAGCGGCATAGAACCCAGGAGTCCTGGCTCCCAGCGCCCCCTGCTCTCACTACTAGACCCCGCTCCCCTCCCCAAGACGGAGACAGACCCCAAGCATCCTAGCTCTCCCCCCACCCCTGCTCTAACCACGAGCCCCCGCTCCCCTCCCCGAGCCGGGGACAGGACCCTGGTGGCTCCAGGCTGGGAAAGGGGCAGCACAGATCCCTAACCAGGAGCATTTCTGCCCCGGAGCCTGTCTCCCTCCTGGACTCGGCCTGGCTCCAAGAGGAACAAGCTCCCTCCAATTACGGGTCTCCGATGTCACATTTCACCTGAGCCAAACCACACATTCAGCTACTGCACCGGGCGCGGCCGAGCCTCGAGCTCCTGGTGTTGAGGCAGGACGGCCGGCTAGGCCACCCCCGCCCCCAAAACCCACCCCCGCTTGGCCCAGGATACCAGCCTCCTCCCACACCTCCCTCCCGCTGGCACCTCACGGGCCTTCAAACGCTCCTTTGTGTCTTGCGGGCACACCTGCAGGCTAAGTGCCTGGTATTCACGCCCTGCAGGTTGCAAGTGCTTTGGGGGATAGGATTAAAATTCAGAATGATCAGACCATTTCGCCGGTTTGCCCAGAAGTAAACAGGATGAAATTCAATAGGGACAAATGCAAAGTACTCCACTTTGGAAGGAATAATCCGCTGCGCGCACACACAATGGGCAATGACAGCCTCGGAAGGAGCACTGCGGGAAGGGATCTGGGGGTCAGAGTGGATCACAAGCTAAATATGAGTCAACAGGGTAAAGCTGTTGCAAAAGAAGCGAACACCCTTCTGGGACGTATTAGCAGGAGAGTTGCAAGCAAGAGACAAGAAGTAATTCTTCCGCTCTACTCAGGCCTCAACTGGAGGCTTGTGTCCAGTTCTGGGTGCCACACTTCAGGAAAGATGGGGACAGACTGGAGAGAGTCCAGAGCAGAGCAACAAAAATGATGAACTCAAGGGCTAGAACCTGCCCATGCATGAATCCACTTCCGCCCCGAACTACTGCAATTCCCCACTCCGGGAGGGCCCGGGCTAGACAGTCACTTAGGGCCTTGGGACTCCCCTTCCCTCACAGGCCACGGGGGAGAAGGATCGCCAGCACTGTCCTTGCAGCTCCGTATTAAGACAACAGCTCTAATCCAATCTCATGCTTCCGGGGGTCACCCGCAGGGGTCAGGAAGGAAGGAAGGATTTCCCCTCTCCCGTGCACAGCTGGATGCTGTAGGGGTTGGGGTTGCCTTCCTCTGAACCATCTAGGATCAATCACGACTGGAGATAGGCCACTGCACAGGGTGGGCCAGCAAAGCCTCTTTCTAGCTGCCTGGTTTTTGCTCATAAGTTCGGGGTCCAGCCCACCACCAAATCGGGGCTCAGCAGGGAATTTCCCCCAGGTCAGATTGGCCGGGACGCTGGCGTTTTTTCCCCCCCGCTTTCCTCTGCGGCGCGGCGAGTGGGCCGCCTGCTGGATCCCCCGGGCATGTCTCGCCTTCTCAATTCCCTGTCCCGGTCTCTCCCGCACTCCATCTGCGGCGCACAACAATCGAGTCTCCTGAGGACAGAAATGTTTGGTTTGGCCTGGGCTACCCAGGAGGTCAGGCTAGACGATCTAACGGGGCCTTCCGGCCTGAAACCTCTGTGACACCTCTAAAATCTCCCCCTGCCTTCACGTCTCTGCCCCCCGCGCCCTCTTCCCATCCCCGGGGCTAAAGCGATTGGCAGATAAACAATTAACCCTACAGCCTTCCGCCCCACGGAGGTTAACGGGGGAAGAGGGGGGGATTTCCCCCGCTCGGCTTCCCCATTCCCCACCCTCAGCGTGACTGACGCCGGGGCCGCATTTGGAAGGCCGTCTTCACCATCACGCACGCGCCCCGCTACTGCCAAGCGAGATCCGGCAGATCTGAACATGCCACCAGCCACGTGCGCACGCCAGGCGAGCCAAGCCGGGCCTGGCACCCTCCCCCCCCCCGCCCTAAAGCTGTGTTTGATAAACAGAGCGGAGAGGCGGGGCCCAGCCAGTCAAGGAAGTCAGATGAGGGCTATGAAATGCTCTTTTCATTGTAGGCTTCCGCCCCCCCCCCCCCACCACCACCACGGAGGAAATTAAACCCGGATTACTTTGTTTCAACACCCCCAGGGTTGCAACATAACCGCGCAGGAGCTGGGAAATCGCAAACAAGGCTAACACGGCGAGCGCTGCTGGGCCGCCCGCTCGCGGCTTTCCCCGCTGGCCGCCCACGTCCTGCCCGCCATTCTCCCAGGCGGGCAGCGAGGCCTAGTAGACGGAGCACTGGGACACCGGACACCTGGGATCTATTCCCAGCGCTGTTGGGTGACCGTGTCCCCTGCTGTGCCTCAGTTTCCCCCCGTGTGGAAAACGGAGAGAAGAATCCCGACCTTTGTGAAGCTCCGGGGATTATTTTAACAAACCATCCCACAAAGTCGGTGACTAAGCAAGCGTCATGGCAGATTCTCCGTCTCTTAGCATGTCCGGAGCTGGGCTGGCTGGCTTTCAGGAAGAGAAGCCGGTTACTGGGCTCCATCCGGAGGAAGTGGGTATAATTTCAAGGCCCGGGATAGCGACAATGTCCAACCAGACGATCTGACGGTCCCTTGCGAGTCTCCAAGCCCCAGCCACAACAGCAAGGGGACGTGGGGGTGAGCTCAGAGGACATGAAGGGTTCATTACAGCCTCATTCCCAGGGGGTAAAGGCCAGTTAAACCACAATGGGCCGGGGACTGGAGGGCAGCCCAGATCGGGGTGGAGGGGAGCGGTGTACCATTGCGCACTGGGCGGTTACATCAGTGATCACAGCATTGCACGAGGGCCAACGTTTGTGCCGCAGCAGCCGTGCGAGGACGTGCGAGGCTCGGAGCCCAGGGCCAGCAGGGAGCCAGGGCTGCGGGGTGCCAGCCAGACCTCACCTGGTGTCCAGTTCTGGTCGCCCCCCGTTCCGGGAAGGGGAATCCAAAGAGGACTGGGGCAGAGAGGGGCTGCTGGTCTGAGCAGGGGAACGGGGAGCCAGGCTCACGGGAGGAGAACGGAAGAGCAGGGCCAAGCCTGGCAACATGCAGCTTGAGAGGAAGGCTGGTTGCTCCGTCTACATCAGGGGTGGGCAAACTTTTTGGCCCAAGGGCCACATAGGGGTTCCAAAACTGTATGAAGGGCTGGGCAGGGAAGACTCTGCCCCCCCCAAAACAGCCTGGGCTCCTCCCCCTATCTGCCCCCCCCACTTCCCACACCCTAACTGCCCCCCCTGCTCCTAGTCCCCTAACCGCACCCCCACCCCCGGGACGCCACTCCCCATCCCCTGACTGCTCTGACCCTTATCCACACCCCCACCCCCTGACAGGCCCCCCCAGGACTCTACCCCCTATCCAACCCCTTCTGCTCCTTGTCCCCTGACTGCCCTGACCTGTATCTATACCCCCGCCCCCTGGGACTCCCATGCCTATCCAACCCGCCCTGTTCCCCGTCCCCTGACCGCCCACCTCAACCTCCGCCCCATCCAACCCCCGCCCCCACCGCACCCCCCGGCCCCTGACTGCCCCAACCCCTATCCACACCCCCGCTCCCTGACAGGTGCCCCCAGACTCCCCGCCCCTATCCAACCCGCCCTGTTCCCCGTCCCCTGACCGCCCACCTCAACCTCCGCCCCATCCAACCCCCGCCCCCGCCGCACCCCCTCGGCCCCCTGTCCCCTGACTGCCCCAACCCCTATCCACACCCCCGCTCCCTGACAGGTGCCCCCAGACTCCCCGCCCCTATCCAACCCCCCCTGTTCCCCGTCCCCTGACCGCCCACCTCAACCTCCGTCCCATCCAACCCCCCCGCTCCCTGTCCCCTGACCGCCCCCCCGGGACCTCCTGCCCCTTATCCAACCCCCAGCCCTAGCCCCAGCCCCCTTACCATGCCGCTCAGAGCGGCAGAACTGGCAGCCACGCCGCCCGGAGCCAGCCACGCCGCCCGGAGCCAGCCACGCCGCCCGGAGCCAGCCACGCCGCCCGGAGTGCTGGCAGTGTGGCGAGCTGAGGCTCCGGGGGAGAGGGGACAGGGAGGGAGCCTCCATGGCCGGGAGCTCAAACGCCAGGCAGGAGGGTCCCGCGGGACGGATGTGGCCCGCGGGCCATAGTTTGCCCCCCTCTGGTCTACGTACAATCGATGAAAGGGGGACCCCAGGGAGGGGGAGGGAAAAGCCACTGAAGCTAAAGGACAACGTTGGCCCAA